AATTTAGGCTAATTGGGCTACTTACAACTTTGCTTCGTATGAGAAGCCTTCTTCGAACTGGGCTCGCTCTGCAGCACTTGTTTCCGCAATGAATTTGCGTTTCGAGCCTATGTACTCAAATTTTCGATTTCCTCAGTATTTTGAAGCGTAACTGAGCATCCAGAATACGGCGACTTTTACCTCCGGCCCTTTTACTGACTCGGGATCGTGTGGTTACCGATGCACCGTTCCGATGCTGACAAGTGTCACCCCCCCTTCGGAGTGCCTCCTTGGGCAATTCTTTTAGGAGCGATGTACTGGTTTTCTCAATGTCTTCACGACAAGGATCCCGGACTTGGTTGGGCCCTGGCCCAACTGCGTAACCATTGAAGAACGTAGTACCTGCTGCCTTGGACATTAGCTTGGTGAGTGTACAGACCGACCCTACAAGACATTGCATACGGCATGTCGTGAGAACTACAGTAGTACTGAGGATTACGTGGTTCCACATCAGAGTTGTACAGAGAACTACAATGTTACTGAGTATTACGTGTAGTGTTAGAGCCACAACTCAAAAGGCATGCGCGCGGGCCGGGGCATGCCCACGGGCATGCCTCATTCGCATTTTCCATACGGGGCATGCCCGTATGTACGTGTATGTATATTCCAGAGTTAAAGACGGTGGGATCAGTGAAAAAATAAAATGGGAAATTATGCTTGTTGTTGGTGCTGCATGGTACTGAAACTGCTCTTGGAAGTGAAGGATTTGACAAGTATATGCAATGCTGTTTTTGAGTCGGGTGCTCCGGCTTGTTGATTGTTTCTCTTTCTAAGAGTACTATATTTTCATAGAAATATATTGCCTGATACATCAAATATACGCATTGTAATATGGGCATGCCTGGGGTCATGCAGCATGCCTTTTGACCTTGAAAGGGGGCATGGGCATGACTCAAAAATTTTTGTTGTGCCTCCAACCCTAATTACGGGGTTCCACTTCAGAGTTGTACAGAGGTTACAGTATTTTCAAACATCGGCATCTGAAGAACTGGGTCACTGCGTGGCCAGACTGCGTGGCCAATGAAGAACTGGGTGGGTCGCACCGGGTACTTACGAAACTGACGTGATCCAGTTCGAACTACGGAGGAGGACGTGCGTGTGCTGGATGACGGAAGTTTGACGGCTATCGCTGTCAACATAACTTCACATCTCTAATTTAATTAATTGGAGTCCTTTCGAAACCCCGAATAGTGGTTTGGTTTCATAAATTGAAGACAGTATTAAATATATTTGTAAATAGATATGCAAGAAGTGTGGTGTTTTTTTGCATTTCGAGCACGAAGTCTACTGGTTCTCTGGATTTAACCTTCTACTTTATACATCCTTTTCCACTTTGCTGCTTCTTCGTGTAACATGAGTGGTTGAGAAAAGTTACAGAAGAATACTTACCCTCTACTGCATCCTTCACTTCTCACATCAGGTCAATATTTTAGTTCCAACAAAAAATTAGAACCTTGTACTCCTTTGCTCGAACTCAGCATGGGCAGTTATATAAACATCCAGACCAGCCGGAGCAATATTCTGATGAGTATACACATTAGCAGGGCTAACCATGTCCAGAATCTGCAATCAGAAAGTGAGTGCATGAAAATGGTGATTACAAGCTTTTGTATGAGACAGCCTGTCGTATGTTATCGTCTGGTTTCCCATGTGCTTAGTTTGCAGTGCATCATAATTTGAGCAGCCTTGGGTTCATTTCTATCAATCAATTACTGGATACGGAGGAGAGATCATTGAGCAGATATACAGCATTGTCCTCTGGGGCATTTGTGAACACATGCTTCAGAAGTTCCCCCATCGCTTTGCATAATCTCCTGTTGTAATGCCCATTCGACTTGTGCTGGAACACTCCATCGATAAGAGTCTAAAACTTTTTCTTCAGCTCTTGCTTTTCATGCGCTTGCTCGATCGTCTCCTTCAGACCGCATTCCACTGCCTCGGCCAATTTTTAGTGGTCTTTGATTCCCCGTCGAGTGATGGCGCCTATAGCCTGACAAAAGGGCAATGTCCTCCAGTATCATCTCTCCAAAAATGCCACTCATGGAATTCTCCAATCTGTCATGCTGTTGCCTGTTTTGTTGACCTTCATGTTGTGTAACTTCTTTCTCGCCGATTCCTCTACGGCTTTATCACTTTCATCACTTTCATCACCTTGATCATCCTTATCATCAGATTCTGCCGTCAGGCAACCGAATCGTGGTTGTTCGGATTTACTAGTCTGCATGCATCGCAACCTGGTTGATCATGCTTCCACGAGTCGGAGGCTCCAGCACGACGCGATTAGAAGCAGAAATCTCCACATGTCTTACCAAGTTATCTGCAGACATATTGGAGGATATTGAAGCCGTGAACTTCAGGATCATTGGTCTAGTCATACCAGACATAATACTCATCTGAAGAAGGGAACAATATCTGTAGTAACTAGAAACAACCTATGAGTGTTTTGAAAACTGTCGAAGATGCTGCAATCATTGGTCTAGGTATTTAATGTAAACTGCGTTACTAGCAGTTCAATCAGCAAATGAAGACCTCCCTTTAAAATTTAGCACCACTTCTGGTATAAGTTACATCTTCGGAGTGAAGTTTCTCTCTCCGAGGAAGAAAGTGGACGACAACAGCGGCACTGGTGAGGAACAGTCTATGATCGCAGCTCAAGATTCAATAACAATTGGCTTAAACAGATTCGACAAGCAGGTTCTCCTGGCATAATTCTTTTGAGTTTTGGAGTTTGGAAACTATGTTTCTTTCTTTACCAGAAAGCCTACATAGATAATAATGCATGACTCACAGTCAGCTAATTTGTCCACAAGTCACAACTTATTGATTCAGAATGCTAAGGAAAACTGTTGTGCCTTCAACTTCGCTCTAGCTTCTGAATGACATCCCCTTCATCAGAATGATTTAAATGCCAATGATCTGACAAAAAAGTCTTGCAAGAACTCCAATTGGCTCCTTCTCTATAAGAAGCTCTTCATTGATGCTGTTTCTAGTGATCCATATCCTGATTAGCTCATATATCCACATCTCCTGCTATCCACTTAGCCCCGTTTTCTACTCTTACTTAATTTCTAGGATATGAACTTCATATATTCATCACAGAATCTGATCCTATCGAGTAATACTGGAGTTATGCCATCGTTGTACTAAGTTCTTGTAAGTTTCGTCTTGTCTGCGCAATGTGTGCAACCCCGGGTTTTCAGCCAGTGAACACGGTCTAGAATATCATAAAAGACAAGGATTTCTGTTTTCTGTTATTTGAGATGTGAGAGAGAAAAGACAAACGCTCAAACGATGTACAGTATGTATGCCTACAGTACGCTTTGCAACCAAAAGCACTGAATCAATTCGACAGAAGGCTAGAATAATGGTCGTTCTAGGAACAACGGGGGACCTGTTCTGCAGAGGTGCTCAGGCCCAAACAATTTATCGTGGAGCTTTCACCATTTTTTTTCATTCTTCCTTACTTTATTGCATTGTAAAATTGTATCAACAATATTGCATGATTCGAAGCTGTCAAAATCTATGCTTTGATTATATGCAACTTCATCAACTAATTTTCATTGAACGCCGGTCCCGTTTGAATCAGACATGGAGGAGCATTTTTGGTGCCTCAAGCTGCTTGTGCAACATCGAACCTCGTTTTTAGTTTATTCACTCTGATTTCCAGATCATAGGACCTGAATGTGACTCGAATATCATAACTGTAAGCTGAAATCTCAGTACATTGTTGCCGAGTGTGGAATTCGGATTCCAAGAAACTGAATTGGCTGACCTAAGGTATGTCACGCCCGGCCCCATGATATTTGGATTATGATGTATGCAGAAGAAGACTGTGAAATATAATATTATTGATGTGCAGTGTATGATATCCGGGGTCCGAACATTCGTTTCCTCAAAGTTACTTCCATCGACCTTCTTCTGGGGGCTTGGCCATCTGGCGACTCACAACTAGGCTTTGGAGAAGTTGACCAGAAGCCCAACCACGGGTACCAGTTCATGCATTTAACTACATGATGACAGACAAGTCTACGTATCAGATGGAGCTGGTACACTGCGATAAACAATCTGAGAAGCCACTTGCAATTGCCATGTCATAGATGTTGTGCCTGCACCAAGCGGCCAAAAATGGATTCTCCTTCAACTCTTGTATCATCTGAAGCATGTGTTTGGTTGAGTCACGTTCTTCACCTTCACTCGTGCTCGAAGTATGCCCCGCCTGCCTTTGCTATCATAACATGTTGACTTCTAGTAACCTGAAGCTCAAATCCCGTTCTTACAAATCAGGGAACAATGCTGCGAGTTTGGAGAGGCTTCAAACCTCTGCCATGCATGGATAGCCTTTGACCGCTGTCCTGAGCCTCTAACTTTATGAGCCATGACACGAACTCTTCCAGGAAAGTCGGTAGAATGAAGCCAACTTGGGGGACAAATTTCCCTTCTTCATGCAACCACCGGTGGCCGTGGTTTATCTCGTTCTTGATATCAGATTTGAAGAACGAGACCGCAAGGGCCCCACTTGGCACGGGAAGTACTTTTAGCTCATGGCTAGTGATAATAAAAAATTTAAGTCGGTTTGGGCTATTGGCCACGATGCTTAACTTGCGCCCTTCGGTGCGAAGAGTGATGAGGATTGGTGGAACCAGGACAGTTGCAGCAGTGCCGAACCGTCCTGAGACACGAAAGAATGATGATTTTGTGCATGTATTAAGCTGGATCTCACTTTTGAAACTACTGTGGACACTGGAGTATAGCTTGGACGTAGATTCATGCTGCATTCTATCACGCTCTCGGGGCTAGATTCCTGCAAGGCTCTGGACCGAGAAGGTCTCATCTGCTGGCGGGATGACGTCATGTGCTGCACTTTGATCACGCGCTGCCTGTCGAATTAAACTCGGGAGTCCAGTGTCGTATATATACCTCGAGCTTTGGCCTTTCATCTCAGTACTACGAGCCTTTTATCCTAAGCTCCAGTCGGTCCTTCGCAGTGCCTGGCGCGCGGCACCGGTGGTCAGATCGCTTTCCAAGCCCTCTGTACCATTCGGCTACTGCTAGCTTGCTCTGAAGACTGAACTAGGAACAATTTGCCCTCACAATAGATTCAAGGACTCAGAATTCGGTCAGACCCTTCAGGCTCTCAGCATCACCCATTCCACTTTCCACATCTCGATCGGTCGCCGACATTGAATTCTGTACATACCGAGGTACGAAGCGACCGGTGGGAGTGATGCAGGCCTGAGATCGATTATGATCGAGGCTCGGAGCCTGAGCTTCCTGTCCTAGAGTCGAGGGAGATGTTGTAGTTTACGAGGTAAGCCTCTTCAGGAGCCTACTGCTCTCGTACCTTTCTCAGCTCACTCGAGAGTGTGAGGGAGAAAGGTCGAGATGGCTAGCATGCAAGAGCAAGGTGTTATCGTCGCCGCCTTGGGGATCAAAGGTCAGGAAATAAGTCCAGCAGCTTCCAGCTACCATGGAAGAATTGATGGATCCGCAGCTCAGACCGGGGAGAAGGCCCAGGAGTACGTGGAACCGGCCCCTCATCCCACTTGGGCTGTGGAAGAGTTCTACAAGTGGTCACTCTACAGAGCAGCCATCGCCGAGTTCGTTGCCACCCTTCTGTTTGTCTACATCGGCGTTTCTGCTGCCATCGGGAACGCTCGGGACAGCCCTGACGGTGTAGGTGCACTGGGAGTTGCATGGGCCTTCGGTGCAACTATATTTGTGCTCGTTTACTGCACTGCTGGAGTTTCAGGTGAATCTTCACCTCGAGAACCGCGTGACGCCCATGCATGCGTTTGACTGTCAGAAATTCTTCCACTCCTCCACTCCACTCACATGCAATATTAATCCGAACTGGTTCACGCTCTGAGCAGCATTGAAATTTGAGGCAACATGTTAAGCAGGAAAATAATCACAGTATACTGCCATGTTCTGATTATGGTGTGCATTTCAGGTATGTGTGGGTATCACGAAGCTCAGTATATGCTTAAAGGGAAAAATGATAATCAAAACCCCAGTCTGAGTGGAATGCATAAACCGCACGATGGGAACTGAATGTTTCAAAATCTCAGCACAGATACTCTTGAGCATGAAATATCTATTTGCCAGCCTCAGCATTGAAGTTTTCTGACTCCTTGCACATATGTACGGTTTGAACAGGAGGGCACATCAACCCTGCGGTGACATTGGGCCTTCTTCTCGGTAGAAGGCTCTCTATTCCTCGTGCGTTGCTTTACATGGTCGCACAGGTACTGGGCGGCATATGTGGAGCAGGACTCGTGAAAGCTCTGCAGAAGAGACCTTTCCAGCGCTACAACGGTGGAACCAACTTTGTGGCTCAAGACTTGTCGACCTCCACGGGTCTGGCAGCAGAGATCATCGGCACCTTCGTACTGGTATACGTGGTCTACTCGGCAACAGATGGCAAGCGCAGAGCTCGTGACTCCCACGTCCCGGTACTCGCACGTTCCTATAAATTTCTCGTTCCAATTAAATCGTGAAACGAAGAGTATGACCAACCATAGGAAAATGATTTGAGATATACATATTTGGAGTAAATTTAACCTGATTGTTTCTAAACCGAGGCCTCTGATGCCGATGAGTTCCTGGCATATAAGAGTGTTTGAACTTGCCAAACGTATTTCTCAGGTTCTCGCACCTCTACCAATCGGATTGGCAGTGTTTGTGGTACATTTGGCTACAATTCCCATCACAGGGACGGGAATCAACCCTGCACGAAGCTTTGGTCCTGCTGTTCTGTGGGGTAACGAGCTCGCCTGGGACGACCAGGTATACATAGCCTCAAAAAAGGCCTGTTATGAAACATTTTGCAATCGAATACAGCGATTCGACCACACCTGCTCATTTTACTGGGAACAAAAAATACCGCCTCGATTAATTGTGCTGTTAACAAGCACCAAGGCATTGAGTGGAGTGTTTTGTCCGAGTGTCCCCCCCTTTCGCTGAGAATGGTCATTCCCTTGCAAGTAGGTCGCTCCTCACGCTCCTGCAGATGGTAGAAAGTTTCGAAAATCATACTGCTATCGAAGTGTCCCAACTTGCTTCCGTTCTCAATTCCTACGGTTCTTGAGCATTGAGTGGAGTCGTAGTTGTCTGCAGCTTATGAATCTGATTCGATTTTGTGCAGTGGATCTTCTGGGTGGGTCCTTTCATCGGCGCTTCTTTGGCAGCGGCTTACCACCAATTCGTCATCCGGTCTCTTCCACTGGGATCTCATTTCCTCCTCCCCACCATTCCTTTGACCTTGGTGCCGTTCCAACTGCCCCATGCGGCTCCTAAAGCGATCGAGCACATGACATCTGGTTAAGGGAGAACTGTAAACAGAAAAATCTGCTGACAACATTGAAGCTCACCAGGCACTTGTAAATACAGTGATTCGTAGCCACCTGATGGACCTATTTCGCCTCTAATACTTGAACAATTTCTGAGATTCCTGATCTTGCTTCAAAGCTACATACGAATACGAACAGAATAAGATCGATCACCTCTGTATCTATGAGAAAGTGATGACTAGGTAGGTATCTCCTTCATTATATGCCTTTGAATCTGAACCTGAGGCTGTGCTCAAGCAGCTGCAGACGGAGACTCTCCTCTCACCATAGAAGACAATATCCCCTGGAATTTGATTTACCGAACGGGGCATGAGACATGGACCTGCAAGTTGAACTTTCATAGATTTCATCGGAGAATTTATCTCCAAAGAAGTGTCATTGGATACCTTCTCAATAAACTTTGCCGTGTTGATATTTCCCGATTCTCCAATTATTTTGATAGCATCGGTAAATTGGTTAAAGATGGATGATATTCTCTCAAGACATTGCTGTGCGCATATCTCTCAAGTTGTCTTGGATTGAATCGACTCAATTTTGAATCCTTGGGCGGCGAGACCTAGCTCGCCGCCTCAAAAATTACACCAGTATTTTGATGTGTTTCCCGTGGAATAATCACGATATCGTGTGCAATATCTGCTCTCTGTGTTCTTTGTTTTTCGTGAAACATGGTTTTTGGTTCTCGAGAGCAATTTGGCATCAGAGGAGTCAACTATCAGACTGTAGGTTACGTCTCCACGAGTCCGACGAAACCGACACGTCTCTGTCCGGAGCATCTAGTTTCTCATAGCAGACGCGAATGTGTCGTAAGTGAGAAAACGCAAGGAGTGGTATAATGTTTGCATCGCAGGGCGCTAGCTCCAAGTTTGACGTGCGTTCAGACGCACATCAATTTTGTCAATCGACGAGTTGTGCGAATTGTTCTCTTCTATCTTGTGCATGTTCAGTCCTTCTTGAAATCGAGACCGAGCCCCAGAAGCGCTGGACGTTGTGAAGGACGGAAGCTGCGGAATGTTGAGTACATTGAATGCGTGGAGATTTTATCAAAAGGAATCCAAGACAGAAGTGTGTTGTGTGTGACTAGGAGAAGGTTGAATTTTTGACAAGGTGGGTGTGATGTTACTAAGACGTTCACGGCGGGATTTTTATTTGGAAGAAGCAAACTGTTGTACTGGATAGAATGTGAGATTCTTCCAAAGTCCAGATGCAAATTCTACGAACTCATGTGCAGTGTCCACGTTTGCTTACTTGCTCAACTCAATTCTCTCCAATTTTAGTTCTCCATGTCTGCTTGACATTGATCTCCGCTTTAGCGGTATTTGATTAAGATGGATCAAGTGGAGTTGAAATTACTGAACCAAAGTTTGTCACATCTCTGTACATTCACAAGGGGACTTGTGAATGTATTATTCAATGTGATCGTGAATCTATGTGATCTATCTTCATCTATCACAGAATATCGTGAATCTATCCGATCAAGATTCTATCGGTAAGGATTGCACGTCTTCAAAGATTGGAGACTAAAATGAATTGTTCGATGTGTGATTTGAGTCTCATTCAAAAATTTATCTGTTAACCAGTAAGCTTATTAAACATTTTTAGAGATTGGAGACTAAATTGAAATATGATCTGAATCTCATTCAAAGATTTGATCGATAACAATTATGCGGATGGAAGATCTACAGAGATTGAAGGTTAGAGTGAAATATTACATATATGTTTTGAATCTCATTTAAAGATTTGACCACCAATGAATGAATCAGCACATGAAACATATACAAAGATTAGAGATCAAAATAAAGTATTGGATGTATGATTTAACCTCATTCATGAATTTGAACTCTAACTATTGTGCATATGTAAAGTCTACAATGATTGAGATAAATTGAAGTAGCAATAATGTGATTTGAACCTCATTCAAAATTTGATTGCTTACAATTGCGCAGATGTAAGTTCATAGGTATTGAAGATTAAAAATGTGATCTGAATCTCATTCAAAGATGTGATTGCTAATGATTGAAGACAAAAAATGAAAAAGATGATGTATGATTTGAAGCTCATTTAAAGATTTGAGTGCCAACAATTATGTGGATGTAGCGTCTACAAAGATTGGAAACTAAAATAAATTATGGAGTTATTAAATTTAAAATCATTCAAAGATTCGACAGTCAATTACGTGGATATAATGTGTACAGAATTTGGAGACTAAATTGAAGTATTGGATGTATAATTTGAACCTCATTCAAGGATTTGGTCCCCATCAGTTGCGTGGATGCAATTTCCACAAAGATTGGACAACGCGGATGTAACTTTCAAAGAGATTGGAGAATAAACTGAATTATTCCTAAAGCATTGGAAACTCATTCAAAATTTTCATTGCTGATGATTACGCGGATATAATGTCTATAGAGGTTGAAATCAAACTGAAGTATTGAATGTGTGAGTTGCATCTCATTCAAAAATATGACCGCTAACGATTACGTGTATTAAATGTCTACAGAGGTTGAAGATTAAAACGAAGTATAAGATGCGTGATTTGAAACTCATTCAAAAATTCAATCTCTAACAATTGCGTGAATATGTAATGTCTATAGTGATTGAAGTCAAAAATGAAGTATAGGATGAATGATTTGAACTCACACTACAAATATTTCACTTAAGTGCACCATCTCTTTACACATTACATTTCTTATCATTCAAATGTTTGAATGAGGTTAAAATTATACATTCAATACTTCATTTTAGTTTTTCTGTAGACATTACATCCACATAATTGTTTGCAATCAGATTTTTGAATGAGATTTGAACCTCATCCAAAGATTTGATCTCTCATGATTCTGTTAATGAAACGTCTACAGACATTTCATTAACAGAATTTCGGAGATTTAGATGAAGTAATGGATGCATAATTTGAATGTCATTCAAAAATTTGATCTCTAAAAATTACACGGATGAAGCATTTACCGAGGTTAAAACTAAAGTGGAGTACTATATGTTTGATTTGAACTTCATTCAAAGATTTCTGCGTTAATCATAGCATGAATACAATGTATGTAGAGATTAGAGACTAAGATGAAATATTGGATGTGTGATTTAAATCTCATTTAAAGAATTTATTGTCAACAATAGGGAGTATGTATAGTCTACAAAGATTGTAAATCAAAGTGAAGTGATGTGATTTAAATCTCATACAAAGATTAGACGGCTAATTATTATGCGAATGTAATGTTTATAGAGATTGAGATTTAAATGAAGTATTGTGTTCGTGATTTGAACCTCATTCAAGGATCCAATCAATAACGATTACACAGATGTAGTGTTTAAATAGATTAGAGATTATAATGGAAAATTGAATGTGTGATTTGTATCTAATTCAAAAATTTGACTGATAAAGATTATGCAAATGAGTTCACTAAAGAGATTCAAAACAAAATTGAAATATAGAATGTGTGATTTGAATCTTATTCAAAGATTTAATTGGCGACAATTGCGCGAATGTATTGTTTACAGAGGTTGGAAACTAAAGTGACGTATTGGATGTATGATTTAAATCTCATACAATGATTTGATTGCTAATGATTACCTCGATGTAAGGTCTATAGAGTTTGGAGACTAAAATGTAACATAGGATATGTAAATTGAATCTCATTCAAAGATTCAACCGATAAGAATGAGATTGAATATGAACATTTTCAACGTGTACTGATAATTTCATGAAAAACTGATTGATTTCACATTTACTAGTGTTGAAAGCTTGAGAAGAGTAGGCAGGTTGCAATAGCAAAATTTTCATATTTAAAGTCGTGAGTGATAACCTGGAATTCAAGAGGAGCACAACTTGCTCATCTATTATTATATGAGGAAGTTTACCATCATTTGCATGTTTGTGTAATGTACATATAGGTATTCCCTACCAGAAAGGATGGAGAGAATAACTTGTTCGACCAGCAAAGCAAAGGTTGTCATCGGTGTCGAGAGTGAATTTTAACAAAAATATTTTCCTTGTGGCTAGATTCATCAGTATTAGGTGCAATTTGGACAAAAGATTTGCCATGAATTAATTGATCCACGTAATGTCAAGATTTTTTATGGAAGTATTTGAGATGGACATCTACATATATCAACTAGGAATTATTCTTGTGTTTAGCCTCACTAAAGCTTTTATGATGTATCAAGTAATAACCGAGTAACTAATAGTATTATACAAACTTGTTCATCATAGTTAAAGATTTTTGTAGAAGCAAGCAGATCAGTTTTTGCACGTTGAACAAACAGATTGTTATTCAATGGTGACAATCTAGATGAAGATTGTGATCTTATCTGTAAGCAATGTAGCCAAATTGAGTTGTTTAAAAAAGAATATAAGGAAAATGATAAAAGATTAAATGAATTTGAGTATTTCATTACTGATTGAAATTGATATTAAAGATAAATTAAAATTCTATGTACATCCCATGAATAAAAAGAAATATATTCAACACGTAATCAAGCATTTCAACCTGGAGTAATGATAATCAACTGGAGTTAGATTTGATATAAATTCAAAAAATGAAATTTTTGAATCAATATATAAAAATTTGAAAAAAGTAATGAAAAACGATTTATACAAGGAATCAGTTTTTCAAATGGATGAAATGATACACAATTAAGTCAAATTTGACTTAACCATTTATATTCATTGCAAATTTGCATTTGTTATGTAAATAATGAGTAATTTCATTTTGGAGGCCGGTATATTTTATTGAACAGCTGCGTCACACTTAGTAAGATTTTTTTAGTTAACTGATCATTTCAAAAATATTTTCAGTATCAAACACAATTCCGTAATCTATGAGACGATTCCACAATGATCAAATTGTTTCTTTAAAGGATATTTTACTTTTCAAAAATTATAATTAAGAAAGAATATTGTGTCTCATAGGCTTACTTAAGTTTGGATTTGTTTTAAATTTTAGAAAAAATTAATCTGATAATTATTCCTGAGGTAGAGATACAAATCTGAATAAGAATACACTGCAACATGAAACAAGCAGCAAGCAAAAGACAAGAGTTTATAATTCTTTGACTCGTTTTCAATTGGAAGATATAGTATAAGACTTATTGTAAGAAATAAACATGTAAAAGAAAATCTACCAAAATCCGTAAATTAAGGGAAAATTCCTAGTAGCAATTAACGCTGATTTTTCACACACACCTTCCGACAAGATGAGAACTTTGGATTGACCTCTCTAAAGAAAAAAACACACACATGATGAGAGTTTAGTCACGGAGGGCATCTAAAACTTGAGTCACATCTTGCAAATTATTGAAATACGATTATATCAAATTTTCGGTTCTTAAAACTCACAAAACACATGCATATCAGGGTTTCTCGTGCCCACACTATACAAAAGAATCAAAATCATATAAACAGTTTATGATA